TTCCTGTCTGAGTCCAGGGACCATTGCTGCCCTTGCCCCAAGAAGGGGCCTGGGTGCAGGCACAGGAAGGATCTTGCCCATCCCTGATCCAGGTAGTAAGACATTCCAAAGAGGGTCTTGCAATCCCTGGGGGTTGCCCATTGCTGTGGGTTATTGGGGAAATGCCTGACGACTCGGACACCACAGGTAGGGCCTCTGATTGGCAGGAGGGGAATGCACGCCCACACTGGTGGGCCGCACACATATGCCTCATCCCAGGGCAGACAGGGCCCTTGAGAAGCTACACTCGCCCCTGCGCCAGGTATCCCCATGCCCAGAGAAGTACAACGTGTATAGCAAATTCTGTAGACACCTCCATGACAGAGACTGTGAAAGAAAGGAAAATGTTTTCTATTTGAGGGCTTTATAACATCACTGTTTTCCTGCTTTTTGAACAAGGGGCCCAGCATTTTCATTTTGCTCTAGACCCAGAAAGTTATATATGGTCCTTGGCCTCCTGGGTGACCTTAATCAGGTGACCTTACTTTCTCTGAACATCAGTTTCTCCATCTAGAAAATGCTGACATCGGGGCTGGCCATGGTGGCTCACGCCTATAATCCCAGCACTTTGGGAGGCCAAGGTGGGCGGATCACAAGGTCAAGAGATTGAGACCATCCTAGCCAACAAAAATACAAAAAAAAAAAAAACTAAAAATACAAAAATAGCTGGATGTGGTGGCACGCACCTGTATTCCCAGCTACTCAGGAGGCTGAGGCAGGAGAATCACTTCAACCCAGGAGGCGGAGGTCGCACTGAGCTGAGAGCATGCCATTGCATGACAGCCTGGCAACAGAATGAGACTTCATCTCCAAAAAAAAAAAAGAAAAGAAAATGCTGACATCTTCGCAGAGGTGTTGTCAGATTCACACAATATGTTCAAACAATGCAAGTCAGTAATACATAGCAGCTCATTTTCTTCCCTACCCACTGTTCCTCCTGTTTTTCTCTACACACCCTGTCTTCCTTACTACTTGCTGGTACTGAATCTTTGTTGAGTGTAGGAATCAATCTATCAATTAATCATCTGGGAATGCGTGTGGCTACTGCCTCTGGGATGGATGGCTAAATGAATAGGCTGATGGAAAAATACACATATATGAAATATGCAGAGACAGACGTTGGTAATATATAGACAGATTGGAAATACATAAAGCCGTCCAGGCATACAGAGTTTACTAGAGAGAGGTGCAGAAAGATGTATATAAAATTCCATAATATTCTGTGTTTAAATAGTTGTATTACTGGCTGGGTGCAGTGGCTCAAGCATATAATCCCAGCACTTTGGGAGGCTGAGACGGGCGGATCACGAGGTCAGGAGATCAAGACGATCCTGGCTAACACAGTGAAACCCCGTCTCTACTTAAAAAAAAAAATACAAAAAACTAGCCGGGCGTGGTGGCGGCGCCTGTAGTCCCAGCCTCTCGGGTGGCTGAGGCAGGAGAATGGCATGAACCTGGAAAGTGGAGCTTGCAGTGAGCCGAGATCACACTGCTGCACTCCAGCCTGGGCAACAGAGCAAGACTCCATCTCCAAAAAAAAAAAAAAGAAAAAGAAAAAAAAATAGTTGTATTACTTATGGCCATTTTTATTTTAACTTAAGAAACTTCATTTACACTAAGCCTGACACCGGGCTGTACTCATAAAATGTAAGGAATCATCATTAAACACAGACACGAGAGAAATGAAAGAACATTTCCATAGTGCTCGTTACCTGGTATTCTGGGCACTAGTACCCCCGTACTGGGTGCTGGAGATGGGCCAACATGACCCCGTAGACCTGGCTGTCAAACTTGTGGAGTCTCGCCCTGCTGGAGCCCTGGAGCTAAGGACCGAGATCTCAGAGCTTTGGTTTGGGCCTTCCATGGGGGCACTATTACAGTGTGGGCATCTGGGAGCCCCTGTGGCAGAGGCTGTGTGGCAAAATTCCAGCCAAAGCGAGAAGGTCAGAGTCTTTCTTTGGTGCTGGCGCTTGTCTCCTGCAAAACCAGGCAGACAGCCCTGAGGATACCATACTAGGTTCCTGTTAGCTCATGGAAAATGGTACTTTCTGAATATATTTGTGTTGCACCTTAACACATATCTAAAGTTAAACACAGGCTGGCCTGTTCGCTCACACCTGTAATCCCAGCACTTGGGGAGGCCAAGGTGGGAGGATCACTTGAGCCCAGGAGTTTGAGATCAGCCTGAGCAACATGGCAAAACCTCATCTCTACAAAAAAAGACAAAAATTTAGCCAGGCATGGTGGCACGCACTTGCAGGCCCAGCTGCTTGGAAGGCTGAGGCAGGAAAATCACTTGAGCCTGGGAGGTCGAGGCTGCAGTGAGCCATAATCGCAGCACTGCATTCCAGCCTGGGTGACAGAGCAAGACTCTATCTCTAAATAAATAAATAAAATTAAACCCAATCATGGCAACAAGGATCCAATCAAAGTACTGTTTTTGGAAAAAGGTACTTTGTGGATTCTAAGATGTCATGGGATAGTAATTGAAAACTAGAATTAAGGCATCAAGAGATAATAGCTTCTGGTTGCAGTTCACAAAAGGCAATTCTTTTTTTTTTTTTTTTTTTTAGATGGAGTCTCACTCTGTCACCAGGCTGGAGTGCAGTGGTGTGATCTTGGCTCACTGCAATCTCTGCCTTCCAGGTTCAAGTGATTCTTCTGCCTCAGCCTCCCGAGTACCTGGGACTACAGGCGCCCACCACCACATCTGGCTAATTTTTTGTATTTTAGTAGAGATGGGGTTTCACCATGTTGGCCAGAATGGTGTCGATCTCCTGACCTTGTGATCCGCCTGCCTCGGCCTCCCAAAGTGCCAGGATTACATGCATGAGCCACCACGCCTGGCCAAGGCAAGAATTTTTAAAGCAGAAAAGTCCAAGCTTGCCACTGACCTTATGGCATGAATCCCAGAGAACACACACTTGCTGTACTTTATTCTGATACCAAGAAATGCCAAGGTGAGTGCCACTGGAGCTGCAGTGGGAACTCAGACCAGGGCTGCTTTGGAGGACTAAATCCTAGGCCCATTGATGGCAGAGCAGCTGTCAGAATTCAAAATGTTGAATCATGGCGTCGTGCCTCTCCTCTCCATCAGCTGTCAATTGTAAAACCGACAGATTTCATCCTTGCTTGTTGAGGAGCTAATGGGGAAGCTATGGCAGGGGCACAGCTGCTCAGGTTACGCTTCGGGGAAGCCAGGTGAGTGGGGCTCCCAGGAGGCCTCGCTCTGTGGAAGTCGGCGCCTGGGAACTCTTGAAATCCAGTGCTGATTGACTTTAGTTTATTCCCATACAGTGTGACAACGAAGACGACTACAGGGAGATCAAGAAGGCCCAGGGAGAGAAAGACAGCTCTTCAAGACTGGCCACCTCCACCGGTAATACTTTGTCTGCAAACCACTGCAACATGAACATCAACAGGTACGTGCATTCCCTCCAAAGTGGAAGTGAGCTGGAGAGATCTGTGGGTCTGAAAGTCACCTGCTGGGTTGGAGGAGGGTCGGATTTTTTGAGGACTACTCTGGTCTAGGTCTTCAGACTTGCTTCCTTCCTTTAACCCAAGTCTTATCATTATGGCTACATGTGCCACATACTATAGCTCCAGATACTCATGCAAGGTACTTCTCCATAACCAAAGACCAGATACTAGTTACACACAGCTCTGCACTCCCCAAGACATGCCCTTCCCCCAAAAAACTTAATAACTGAATTTCTAATCAATATTTTAATGGTAACCACTAAACTCATCAGAACACTAAGCTTATTACACAAATGAAGAAATACACACTTCGAGCTGAATCTCCATGTGCGGCCCCTAAAGCAATTAATTGGATATAGACTAAAATTGTGGCCTTAGAAGGGTCCGTGCTCCCAAGGTTAAATGGCCACCCAGACACTCCTCTCAAGAGGTTCCAGATGGACCCACCCAGCACTGACTCCCCTCTTTGATGAATGGCTTACAAGCAAGGCAAAATCCCAGGTATTTATTAGAAACGAGTAGCTTATCATCAGTCATAGAAGCGCTTTCCATTTTGAAATACCACAGCACGGAGACCACTTTTCCTCTCTAAGACACTCCTCGCCCTCTCTGATCGTATACATAGAATTTTAAAGGGAGATGAATGTCTCAGCACAACACATAAAAATGTAAACTGAAAGGTTAGGAAAAGATGTAGAGCGGTGCTAAACCTTGGCGAGGAAATTGGAGAGCGAGGGTGCACACACACAGGCCCACTGCAGTGCCGGAATCACCTTGGAAGGCGAGGGCTTCTGTGGGTCTGAACGGGAGGGAGGGCTGCCCCTGCACGCTGCCCACTCCTCGGTCCTCTGTGCAGGGTGGATGCCAGCCCAAAATATTGGGAAAGGGGAAATGGGGAAAATGTGGTACCCAAGTATTTTTAAATGTGCGATACCGTTTAGTGCGTGTTACTACACTAAATGATCTAGCTGATCTGGTGGCTTCCGTAATTTCTAAGCAGTGAGGAATATAAACCGTGTGTCCGCACAACTGCAATATGATATGAAAATAGCTGTGATTTGGCCGGGTGCAGTCGCTCATGCCTGTGATCCCAGCACTTTGGGAGGCTGAAGGAGGCGGATCATGAGGTCAGGAGTTCAAGACCAGCCTGGCCAATATGGTGAAATCCTGTCTCTACTAAAAATATAAAAAAATTAGCTGGGTGTGGTGGCACGCTGCTGTAGTCCCAGCTATTCGGGAGGCTGAGGCCAGAGAATCGCTCAAACCCAGGAAGCGGAGGTTGCAGTGAGCTGAGATTGCACCACGGCACTCCAGCCTGGGTGACAGACAGGCTCCATCTCAAAAAAGAAAAGAAAAAAAGAAAATAGCTGTGATTTATACCGGTGACACAGTCACAGGTGTTGATACTACTGCTCCTGCTAAACCATGACTCTGGTTTCATACCTTTACTCATAGTTGAAGGGAATGTTCTATTACAGTGAGAGGTCAGTGAAAATGAAGAGGTCACTTCTCCATTCAAGTTCTTGAACCCCAGGTTAAAAAAACTCTTGCTCTAGAGACTTAGCCTGGCAGAGCCTCCTAGTTTTGATGGTTTTATTTATGTTAAGTAGTGACACAATGCATATAAAATGCTTAGAGTTCTTTCTGGGAAAGGTGGTCTGTGTACCTCTGGAACTGTGATTACTACTATCAGGTTTTACCAGTGCTGTACAGCAGTCCCAGAGACAGGGATTGCCAATTTCAAAGAGGAGCTCCCAAGAAAGTTTCTTTGGTCAACTTATATATATATATAAACTGGCAATGATGAAAAGCCGACAATCATGATGTCCATGATAATATTTAATGTCACAGTTTTGTTTTTCATGCACTGTGAAAATCATGAAGTACGTCAAATAATAGAGACTGAGGAAAAGGTCTTTCTTCACTCACATTTCAACAAACAATTATAGTCAGGCAGTTCACATTATCTTCAACATCAGCATCTTCGCCATCGCTAGATGAGTAACTTTTGATTCTCCCAAAGCACTTTTGCGTAACACAACCTCTTTGTTGTTAGACACACAGTGCTTTTGGAACCAGAAATCTGTCACCAGAAATTCTATCCCCGCATGTATCCATTTGCATAACATTCAGAACCTTGGTTTTGTCATTTGTTGTAGAGGCCTGTGTTTGTAATCTCTCCACTGTGACCACCAGCTAAGGAAATTGCTTTTCGAAGTGACTTTAATGGCTTGTTTGCGGTGATAATGAACACGTGCAATTAAAAGAGCCCAACCCCAAGAATAATGAGTCAATCTCTGTTAGATGACTTTACCATGTTTTAACTGGCTCTACCAGGTGACCTCTATAAGTACCCTAAATGAGCGATGACTGAGTTCATTTCAGACTAATCTGTCTTTCCCAAAGAATACTTGAAGGAATAGAGCCCTAACAATGTAATATACATTGCAAACTCAAATGTAAGTGAATCCCTCTTCACTGATGGTTGATTTTGGAGAACATTATATTCAAGCACAGACAG